CTCGCCGTGAGCGCCTATGCCAGCGAGCAGGGATACTACGCCTGCCAGTTCACCGGATACCAGGGTACGACCAACCTCAGATATGCCAACCAACAGTGCTAATCCCAACAACAGACACCCTTCTGGCCGAGACCGGCTACCAGGTTTACGCCGGAACCTACATCGAGGGTGCCGTGTATGTCTTCCATCATACCTTTATAAAAGGTGAACACAGCTAACATCACCAGTGACTTCATCTTCGGACAGCACGCCCGCGCCTGGTTCCACGAGTGCGACATCCGCGTCCTCGAGGGCCCCAGCTCCGCCTCCATCACCGCCAACGGCCGCTCCTCCGAGTCGGACGACTCTTACTACGTGATCCACAAGTCCACCGTCGCTGCTGCTGATGGCAACGATGTTTCCTCCGGCACCTACTACCTCGGTATGCCACTAGCCTAGATTCGCTCAAAAAGCTACTAGCCCACTAACAGATGGTTTAGGCCGCCCCTGGTCCCAGTACGCTCGCGTCTGCTTCCAGAAGACCTCCATGACCGATGTGATCAACCACCTCGGCTGGACTGAGTGGTCGACCTCCACCCCTAACACCGAGAACGTCACCTTTGTTGAATACGGCAACACCGGCACTGGCGCTGAGGGTCCCCGTGCTAACTTCTCTTCTGAGCTGACTGAACCCATCACTATCTCTTGGCTTCTCGGATCTGACTGGGAGGACTGGGTTGATACTAGCTACATCAACTAAACTTCTGTGAAAGTTAGTAAAGGTTGGAGAAGGGTCGTATATAGTGTTGTGGATATGTATATATGTGATATGGAGTATATAGCTAATTGTGGCTAGTTAATCACTGCTCAATTCATTTCGAAGCAATTTTTGATTGGTGGACTTTTGTGCCGTGATTGGGGAAGGGACTCGACGGCAATTGGAGTAATGCGAACTATCACGAAGAGCGTTAGCGTGCGTATTCGCCATAAGCTAACCAGCCACCACTCCTAATATGGAGCAGCACGGCATAACTCTGCATCCTGTCATCCAAACTATCTTCCTCTTCATAAATCGTGTACTATTATTTACTCTTCATTCATTCCACCTCCCACCGATCTAATAACATATTTTGATAAGCCTACTCATACCGAACCTTATTAACCAACGTCCCAACACCCCCAATCCTAACCCGAATATCATCCCCATCCCTGAGCACCACCCTCGGCTCTTTAAAGAACCCAATTCCCGCTGGCGTCCCGGTAAGAATAATAGTCCCGGCCTCCAACGTCGTACCTTGTGACAGGTACGCGATCGTCTTCTTCACCGAGAAAATCATATTCTCGGTATGTCCATCCTGGCATACTACACCATTATGGATAGCCTGGACAGACAGGGTCTGGGGGTCTGTGATCGCAGACGTAGAGACTAGCACAGGCCCTATTCATAGATAAATATATCATTAGCCAGCCATTACAACACCCAACCACAACCAATAGAGAAAATAAAGGAATACATACCAATCGGACAACTCCCATCTAACCCCTTCGAGAACCCCCACTGGGAAGTAACAAACTGCAACCCCCGCGCAGAGACATCATTCGAGGCCGTATACCCCAGAACGTAATCCAGCGCCTCTGACTCAGGGATATCGCGACCTGTCTTCCCGATGACGAAACACAGCTCCGCTTCGTAGTCACTTGTTCCATCCTGGGCGCATTTCGGGACGTTGATTGTGGCCGGGTACGGGCCGTTCAGGGCCGTCCGGGGCTTCGAGAAGATGGTCGGTGCGGTGGGGAGGGAGAGGTTCGCTTCTTTGGCGTGGTCGGTGTAGTTGAGGCCTAGGCAGCGGATGTAGGTGCATGTTGAGGGGGGGAGGGGGGAGAGAAGCTAGTGTTAGATATTAGATTTTGTTCTGTTGGAAGGAGGAAGGGGTGACGTGCCTGTTTAACGTGCATTATCTGGCTGGTTACGCGGCCATTGAAAATGTCGCCGTTGATTAGGTAGGCTGCGATGTCGATGCCATTGACGCTGTCTTCGCCGACATCGCGGGTTGGGTCGACGAGTTGGCCGAGGTGCGTTTGGCTGTCTTCGACGGCGATGAAGCGGATGAGGTGTGTCCAGGACATGATTGAGGGTTTACTTTGAGGTGTTGAGTGTGTAAATGGGTGGTTAGAGTATATTGGATGTATATTGTGGTTGATCTTGGTGGTTTTGTATGAGGGGTTGGTCCCACATTGTAGTTTTGCGGGGCTATTTGAGATGTGGGATCTTTTCCGCATTGCCGACCAAGCGGTTGACAGCGAGATACTCCGTCAGAAGATGACTTTATTGAGTCAATGGTTTATGAAATGCGGGGTAAGATCTGGTGTTAATCATTTCTGCGATAAGAGCTGCAGATGGGAGGAAAGGCTGACCCAAGCGTTTGCATCCGTATTAACGCCAGGTAGAAAGACCAGTAGCGAAGTTGTCATTGAATCAAAAATTGCGCGGAGTAAAGTATAAAATTTGACATATTACGAAGAGCTAATTGTTATACAATCATTTCAAAAACGTAGGCGGCACATCGGGGCCCCAAACTGCTAACGATTCATCTCCAGCGGGACCGTACCCAATTGGAGTTTCGTCAGTCACCAAGTCTCCGTCTGCATAATGCTCGACCATGTTGCCAGTCGTGTCCCACCAGTAGTCGAAGATCTGCGAACCGAGGATATGCCGTCCCACTCCCCACACCGACTTGTACCCCTTTCCTGCCAGCCAGTAGTGACCCAATTGCTGGGTATCGAAGTCATGAACTTCAAAAGAGCAATGGTGCACATGAGAGGTCTCGTTCGTGCTCATGAAGAAGGAGTGGTGGTCAACGGGATCGCTTCCCCGATCGATGTGGGCAAACACTGCTACGTTCACTTTCTGGCCGTCCTTTTCCACGTAGAGGAAGTCACTCGGGACGAGGTTGAAATTCCGGGTGTAGAAGTCAAGCATGGTTGGGAAGTCCTGTACACAGTATCCAAAGTGGCCAAGCTATTGCTGTTAGACTATGAGTTTTGCTAGTTGAAATGCTGCATACCTTGTGCACGGGTGCAGGTCCGACATCGAATCGGTGAAACTTCCGCAGACGAGGTTTCTCTGCCTCGTAGTTTACGATCAATCTTTCCGGATACTCTCCTGCCTCCCGTGGCGCCTGTCCATGGATCAGGTTGACAAGGTATCCTTCCGGATCAGTGAAGCTGACCAAGTGACCACCGCCGGGATGGTTGACCAGTTCCTTGATTCCACTGGCGTTCGGAAGCTGCAGTGCCCTGCTTTAATTAGCATACTTAACTAAGCTAGCAGAAAAGGGGATTACTTACTTCTCCAAATCTTGATAAGTTTCGACCTCGAAAGTAGCCCCCAGGAATTGTTTGGGTCCTTTCCTAGCATAGTAAACATAAGGGTCCGGTCCATAGCCGCGATACCAGATCTGGTCGTCTGTTTGCTTGACAATCTGCATGCCAAAGTCTGGGTGAGTTAGCAAGCGTGCTGCTAAGTCAGAACTTACGTATCCACGAACCTTTTAGGAAAACAGTAATCTGATCCAGATCCGGATGTTGGTACCGCATATGCGACAGCTTCACCAGGCGGATCTGCGCATCGGTGTTGATACCAACCCGCTCTCTCCAGGAAGTGATGGACTCGAACTCCGACCCCTTGGTGGTTATGTCCGGAACAGACGCGCCATGGCACACGGCCTGTATGTAGCAATTAGTGTGGTATGCTAGCAGAAGGGGATCGGAGTCATACTGTTTCTCCAACGCTGCCCATCTTAACTATCACTATGTGTTATGCACCTGTAAATAATGTCAATGTCGCTAGAGCAGTAGGATGCAATTACCAAGTAGTTAGATCTAGGCAGAAAGAGGTTCATGTCTATTGAAAAGGCGGAACTGCGGTGAGGCCCCCCTTCCACGTGTGGGGTCACAGCGGGGGTGGGGCTGCAATGTGGAGCTACAGGGGGGCTCGGATTTATGCATGTCGGCTCAGATCAGCGCGAAGGTTACATATTACTTCTTCAGATTATTGGGGAAAAGACAGGATTCAACTTGTAGATGACTCAAGGTGTCAATATGCTAACGAACGGCACGACCATTGCCCGCAATACGGGGGGGTCGGAACTAGGTACAAGAGACATAGATGGCGAACATTTTGGAATCAACCATACATAGCTCGATTAGCTACGGCCGATACTTCCGACAAATGCTCACACGGCCTTTATTCTCACAATAGGTATTACGAGGGTGAATCATTTGCACACACCCTGTGCCTGGCTAGGGGTTTGCTATACAATGACAGTCAGTCTTCAGCCGAGCCTGCTCGAGATACGGATGTCACATACCACACACAGGTTCGATTCACAAACACCCATACTTCCATCTTGCTTGCAAGGAGCACCAGCAGGGAGCTGTTGTTCTGTTAGCACCGCATTTTTGTGCAGCTAAATGGGATTTGCGGACCTGGACGGCAAAGGCAGTGCCAATGAAGGTGATGATAGTGATTGCAGAGAAACGCATCTTGAAAGAGACCTTTTGAGTATAGTAAATCTTGTTTAACTAATGAATTTTCCTTGATTTGTTTGTTCCATATCAGGATGTTGCTTCCAATTTATATCTATGATTCTCCGTCTCCTGATAACTGATGCTGATCTATATCCCGGGAGAGGGCCCCCCTATCCCGAATTGAAGCAGCAACAGCCATGTATGATCGACATCGTGGATTTACGCAGATTCTGCCTTGTGAGCCACATTTTAGCAATCATGCACACTATTCATCATCTCCTAGGAGTATGTCTCAGGCGGCATGCTTATGCCGGTTATTTTTAGCCGGCGAGAGACAGGCAATTCTCGGTCATTCTTGGCATTGTCGGACCCTATCCTCACTAATCTGGCGCCAAAAATCAAATATATAAATTTCATAAATGAACGGAGTGAGCATAATGACTTAATTGTCTAATCCATATCATATTTCCTCACAATTTGAATCACCCACAATGACATCCACAACCACCACCTCAGCAGCAGCAGCATCAACCACCTGCGGCGGCTCCGGCCAATACGAACTTCCCGTCAAAGACGCAGCATGTGGCGTGCCAAATATCAAAAGCTACCAATCTCTCTTCGATAACTGTGCGAAGCCCGCCGGTTCCCGATCATACTATCACGATTGTGCTCTGTGGAGTTATGCCATAGATCAATCTGTCCAAGACCTCACCGACTGTCTTTATAAGGCCGGGGTAGCGTGGGAGGATGTTTGGTGCACAGGAAATACCAACGCAACTGCAACGGTCACTTCGTATCCAACTGCCACGGCTACGGGTACATCAGAGACAAAGAGTAAGGGAGCGACTAAGACAGGAAGTTCGACTTCTTCTGCTGCTTCTGAGACAGGATCGGAGAGGAACGCAGCATATTCTTGCCGCAATCAGGTTTCTACTAAGCTTGCATTGGGAATATTGGGGCTCGTTGTGACGGGGGTTATAGGTTGGAGTTAAGGGGGATTGTCTGGCTAGATGGCGATGTTGAAGTAATCTTTAGTCATTGTTTGCATTGTACTTATATAAAGATCTTCTTATTCTGTAATTATGGTTCCCCTCACCCAAGTAGAGTATGTGCCTAGAATCAGACCTTCACTCAGGCTTGGGAGCCTTAAAAGTAGTGGCCAAATGCTCCTGCACTAGTACACCTTGGACATCATGGATATATTCAACCCAGCTGTTATGAAAGTTTTATATTGATGCTAAGGTTTTATATTGATGCTGATATATTTAAGCTATGATGGAGACAAAACGCGAACTGGGAAGAGAAACTCTAATATCCTTGACTGAAACCAGTGTTAGCTCACAATTCCAAGAGGCACTTTTGATAACTCACATTGTTTCGCCCGAATTCAATGCCAAGTCTGATCTCCAACTTGTAGCTCCGAGTGACATTGCATGTTTCAAATGTAGGTGTCAGGCAATGTGGTAGACGATGCCTACTCCATACCGCATCGTCTAGAGTCATGAGCATCCCAGACGCTGGCATTGCACTTGAAAATGGTTGTCCCAAGTTTGTCATCGTCTGTATAATCCACGAGCGGGTAGCGCTTTGCATAATCCCATGTGCCCGGATATCTGTTGTTTCGATAAGCATGGATTGGAAGTCCCTTAGTGATACATCAGGTTTCTCGTCATTGATGTTGGTGACCTTTACACTCAGTGCTATTGGGTGTCCCAGCAGAACGAACGGCCCGTTCACCAGTTCGGCTTGGATCTCATACGTTAGTGGTGGACATAGTAGCCCCGCTGCCTTCTTATTGCATGTCACAGTCTTTCGGACTACTACACTCTGTGATGGCTTGGGAATAGCAGACACCGGATGAAAGGATATTTGGCGGGTCTATTCGATGCTGTTAGCACAGGCTATAGCTGCCCAAGGTGGTATACTCAACGGCTCTGTGAGTTCTGTACATGAGGCCATTCTGTGTGATGATAGCTTCCAGAGAATATCTGATCTCCTCAGGAGTGTTGAAATTTCCACTGGACGGTGGAAGCTTTCGTAAGAGATGGTGTGGTGGACGGTCTGCTGATCGCTTGCGAACGGCATCTCTAGTGCTACCCTTGTAGCATTCGGAGACCTGAGGAAACTAAGATATGTTAGATGCTGTATTCAACAAATTTGAGCGCAGATGCAAACACGAACCATAATCGAGAATGGAAACGAGTGTTCTCCCGGGGGAATCGTGACGGCCGCCGAAGTGAACCATCCGGCACAGTTGACGGGCGGAAATATTTGTTCATTGCGTTGGAAGAGCTTTTTCATTTGAGTTAGTCTAATCGTATTCAGAGCTGTAGTGGCAGAACATGCCTTGTGTGTTTCATTCAGCTTCCCTGACTCTAGCCTCGATGTTGCCTGACCAGATAGATTGATTGCTATCGTGGCAATGTCAAGTTCGGTATCACTGCGAAGGACGACATGGCCGGACACCTGGTCCTCACTTGTGTAATGCAATACCTTTTTATCGAGTTTGATTTGAACTTCCATCTTTGCAGGACATCCAAACAGCCGTGTCACTCTTGACAGCATGAAGCTATGGTGATGCGAAGGTTGAACTTGATACGGCATGCACATGCTCAATAATGCGGAACACGCCTGTTTGATTTAGAAAGTGTAGATATAGAAGTCGCAGGATCTCCAATCAATAGTAAGACAATAGGGATAGCTGTACTCATAAATAAGAAAAAATTATTGTTGCATTTGCACTCGGTCTTGGTATCGCTGTCATCGCGCCGAGAAACATGACCGGCAGTCTTCCAGCGCTGCACCACACGTTCTTTCTTAGCATCTCTCACCCGCAAAGAACAACCATGGACTAAACTGGGTCTTGAGACTTTCGCTACCCAAAGGCAAAACTCTTACTGAACCAAATCTTTGAATATTTGGATAGAAGGCTGGTCCAAATTCCCGACTATATTTAAATGTTGATTTAGAGGCCGCTAATTGGCTCGGCATAAGGGCGGGTCATTGGCGATCCAATCAGAACATGTGCCGCTGCTGAGACACTCACTTGTGGGGGGTAGTAGTAGTAGTATACTGTAGATTTGACAGTATCTGGGAGGAAATAGTGAGTCCATCTCCAGCCGTCGAAAAGGCGCGCCTCATTCAACGCGTACTACGCTTTCTCCATCATATTCTTGAAAGCTCTGGTCATCAAAACAACATGGATAATGCCCACGATCAGTCGTCACGCCCTCTCTCATTCGAGTTGGAGAGTAACCACCACTCACTTCGCCAGCTAACGCCTCCCATTGTAGGCTTCTCCGCGAAAGCAGCATGGAGAATTACTGGCTAAATTCCAATCTAGGCCAGTTCATATTCGTTCAACGAGAATGAAGATGCCTCCCACTCGCTGCTTCCTGCGCCACTTGACAACCATCATCCTTCTACCAGCTCGCAAGGGCCTCCTGTTATCATACAGTATAACCCTTACGAAGATCCACACCAGCAAAGTGAATCCGAAGTGGCCAGTCAGACATCCTGGCAGCGACGACAGAAATCGGGCTCAGGCCTACGCCGCTACCCAACTCGCAGGATCAATCTAGTCCAGGGATCCGTTCTCAGTGTCGACTATCCTGTTCCTAGCGCCATTCGCAACTCGGTTGAAGCAAAATACCGCGACTCAAGTGAGGCTACAGCTGAGGAATTCACTCACCTACGATGTAAACCAAGGGGACCTGCTCATTCGAACTCCAGCTGACACTGTATCTTAGACACGGCTGCAACTTGCGACCCCGATGATTTCAATTTACGCAACGGCTATAATTTGCGGGCCGCCATGTTCAATCGACATACCGAGATTCTGATCGCAATCACCTATTATAACGAGGATAAAGTTCTTACCTCTCGGACTCTCCACGGAGTCATGCAGAATATTCGAGATATTGTCAATTTAAAAAAGACTCAATTCTGGGACAAGGGAGGACCTGCCTGGCAAAAGATTGTTGTCTGTCTTGTGTTCGATGGTATTGGTCCTTGCGATAAGAACACTCTTGATGTCTTGGCCACGGTCGGCATATATCAGGATGGAATCATGAAACATGATGTCGATGGGAAGGAGACAGTGGCTCATATCGTATTGTGCCCTCCTCTACCGCCACAAAAGACATATTCAGAGGCTGACTAAAGTCATTGACATAGTTCGAATATACCACACAGCTATCGATAACCCCTTCCCAGCAGCTAGTCCGCCCGCGGAGCGACAGTCCTGAGAACCTGCCGCCCGTACAGATGATCTTTTGCTTGAAACAAACGAATAGCAAGAAGATCAACTCACATCGTTGGTTATTCAATGCATTTGGAAGGATTCTAAACCCGGAAGTCTGTATATTGATTGATGCAGGAACGAAGCCGGGTCACAAATCCCTTCTTGCGCTCTGGGAGGCATTCTACAACAACAAGAATCTGGGAGGCGCCTGTGGCGAAATCCATGCTCTACTCGGCCCAGGATGGAAAAAGCTAGTCAATCCCTTGGTAGCTGCGCAGAACTTCGAGTACAAGATATCCAACATATTGGACAAACCTTTGGAGAGTGCCTTTGGGTACGTCAGTGTTCTCCCGGGGGCATTTTCTGCCTACCGCTACCGTGCTATCATGGGTCGGCCGTTAGAACAGTATTTCCATGGCGACCATACTTTATCAAAGAAACTTGGTAGAAAGGGGATAGAAGGCATGAATATCTTTAAGAAAAACATGTTTCTTGCTGAGGACCGTATCCTGTGCTTCGAGCTCGTTGCAAAAGCGGGATACAAATGGACGCTCAGTTATGTGAAGGCCTCGAAGGGAGAGACAGACGTTCCAGAAGGTAAGATGTTCCACCCTTAACTTTAACCCATCCAAACTAATGCAAGCAACGCAGCACCCCCAGAGTTTCTTAGTCAAAGGCGCCGATGGTTGAATGGATCCTTCGCAGCCAGCCTCTATTCGGTCATGCACTTCAACCGCATCTACAAAAGTGGCCATAATATACTCCGGCTCATTTTCCTGCATGTGCAGCTCGTCTATAACATCTGTCAACTTACTATGACTTGGTTCTCTCTCGGTACGTCTTCTGCGTATGGCTAAGCGATTGACGCTAATCAAGACAGCTTCCTACTGGCTTACTACTTCGGTCATCATGGACATCGTTGGAACTCCAAGTGCGACGAATAAAAACAAGGGATGGCCATTTGGAAACGATGCATCACCTGTCGTCAATAATATCATCAAGGCTTTATATCTGGCATTCTTAATGCAGCAGTTCTTCCTTGCGCTAGGAAATCGACCTAAAGGGTAAGTGCTCCGGGCCTGCCATGTAGTTCCTAGACTAACAACAAATTGCAGGTCCCAAACTTCCTATATTCTAACCTTTCTCTACTTTGCTATTGTTCAACTTTACATCCTCGTACTATCATTTTACCTTGTAGCCCAGGCATTCGCCGGCGGCAATATAGATCTCGATTTCGATAATGGGGCTGGAGGATTCGTGGGTTCTTTTTTCACTTCGACTACAGGTCTAGTGTTGATCGCGCTGGTCTCAACGTACGGAACTTACATCATAGCTAGCATACTCTATTGCGATCCCTGGCATCTTCTGACATCATCCTGGGCGTATTTTCTCGGGATGCCTTCGACAATCAATGTTCTTAACGTCTACGCGTTCTGCAACTGGCATGATGTCTCGTGGGGGACGAAAGGCTCAGATGACACGGCCTCCCTTCCATCCGCCAAGACGAAGAAATCAGAAACGCAGAAAAGCTTCGTTGAGGAGGTTGACAAACCACAGGCCGATATCGATATCGACTTCGAGTTAACTGTCCGACGCGCCCTTTCACCCTGGCAGGAACCGATGGAGAAAAAGGAGGTGCAGTTGGAGGACTCATACAAAACCTTCCGAACCAATCTGGTGTTACTGTGGACGTTATGCAATGGCTTATTGGCATTGCTGATCAACAATGATAGTGTGAGGAATCTATGCTTGACGGTATGTTCATTCCAACTAATCTTAGGTCACGAAAGTTTGCTGACAAGGTGCATCCAGACTACGTCGACGGATCGTACGGCTTGGTATTTCAAGGTTATCCTATGGGCTACGTCGGGCCTATCTGTCTTTAGATTTCTGGGTGCTCTTTGGTTTTTGGGAAAGACGGGGCTATTGTGTTGTTTCTCCCGGCGCTAGCCAACATATTAAACAGTACTTTGTGCTCTATTTTCTGACCCCGAAAGTTGGTATTAGTATACCCGCGACGTAGTCCTCTAATATTCACTCTGTGTGGCTGTCTTCGCCCTATTATCCAGCGTAGCAGTAGACGACTAGATATCCACTTGGCCTCACCAAGAATGCAGAGGATTTTTCACTCAATTTCTTGGCATTCGGGATCCGTGGAACCCGCCCCTATCGAGCTTGACTTTTCAACACAGCGGAAATCACTCCTTACGCCAAATAAAGCAACCCAGTTGGCTGAAAAATGCAAGAACCGGCAAAGGTTAAGAATAGTATTCTTTAATATACTTGTCCTCTATTGGCGAGCCCTATTCGTAGAGTGGCGCAGTGGTGCCCTTCGCCATGTTCCTGGCCTTGGCAACTTATTTTTGTCGCCTTCTTGGCTCGAGCGAGCGCTTCCGCCCGCACTCGTGGCTTGAGATGGCAGTTGGGTCGTAATTTATAATTGTCACCGGAGAGGCCTTGAATACGATACTTGATAGTGGAACGGTGACTACGTTCATCTCTCACAATGCTGCGGCGTCGTGTGGTGTGTAACCCCTCTTTAAGATTATAAAAGACGCCGTCTAACTTATATCCCACAGTGTGATGCATGCCATGCGCGCAAGGTACAAATTTGCATCTCAGATAGCATTAAGATGCCTTTTCCTCTCCACAGATGAACAGTATTAGTAACATGGTATCAGGTTCGGTGCGATAAGGAAGACCCATGCGGAAACTGTCAGGATCAAATGACCGCTTGCACTCGGACCCGGGGTATGAAACGACTTCCCAAGCGAGAAGCAGTTCAGAAGCGAATTATGGGGATCGGCAGTCCAAGTAATGGGGCTCTTGTTGCTCAGTCATCGATTGCAGGCCGACGCTCAAGACAAGTCTCTGCCGAACGGTCAAGTGAGGGTTTCATATTCAATGACCTCTCACCCCACATGCACCATGATGTCTTGAATATGCTTGATGATAGATATTCTGCGTTTCTCGGTAGAATTGACATGGACCACGAATTGCCTGGCTGGATGTCGCTTGTTCCTCTTACGGACTCCCAGATGATCAAACCAACCCAATCGGGACAAGCGATGGATGTAATTCGTGACAGGCACCAGACTCTGGAGTTTGCTCTGTTCATCGCAAGCCAACTGCTAGGTGGCAAAAATCAATGTACAGGCATGCTGTTTGAGGGACCTAAGGATGAGGACTTGCGCAACTTTCCCTCCATCGAGCTGTTATATTGGATGCTAAACGGTATGTATAAAATCTATCTTCTCTCGCCGAATACAGTTCTCACTTATCTTCCAAGATCTCCCAGACATCGAAACCAACAAATTTGGGTCCTACGTCAAGGACTATTTTAGACATGTCAGCAAAGAAACCCTCAAGCATATGGGGCTTTCCATTCTGTTGGGTACTGCTACGCCCCCCGAGGCTTTGCTGTATACTATCTGTATCAATTCGGTGGCCTACAAGTTTCTCAATACAGTAGCTGCAATTGAGAGCGATGGTCTCTTGGCTCAGAGTCTGCGGAATAGCGCCTTACTCTACCGTGAGACTGCTCAACGATGTTTGAGAAGGATACCCCTTTTTACAGAGTCTTCGCTTTCCTTGCTACAGGCTATATTATGTGGAGTAAGCCGCTTATCATCCGATTTGCGTCCTCGTTTCTAACGGATTGTGACAGATATTTCTATATCAAGGATCAGGTGACGCTAGCACGTGCCAAGAGTTGACCAAAACTGCATGCAGAGTATGCATGGATATCGGTCTTTATCCTGGTTCAAGTGACTTGCACGACTCAAGTGAAGAGGAATATTACTGCTTCATGTGGTGCTACATTCTGGACAGGAACTACGCATGGAAACTTGGCAGACCGAGAATGCTAACAGTGGAATCTGATCTGAGGGTGGATCCTGCGACATCAAGAGTTACGATTTCATCGCTCCTTCTAATATACCTGCAATTGGCCAAGGTTCAGGACACGATGATACCCTTCTTGGTCAACTGTTCCATAGGAGATAACACAGTCTTCCTGTCTTTCACTAGCATAGGCGCGCAGCTTCTGCGGGACATGGATGCCATACGCAGAAATATTGATCAGGTAGATCCACTACCTTTTCGAATATATCCTTCGGATCCCGATGAGAACTGACAAACGTGGCATCCAGATCAATTCTCCATCCCCCAGCTGGACTGGCCTAGACGTCAACAGCGAAATAGCAACCCTCAATTTCTCCTACCACTCCATAATGACCAGCATCCTATACCTCCACCAAATCGCCCCGGGAGAAGCCACCATAGAGACGTGCCTCACATCAGCACGGCAGGAATTACAGGCCCTAATAACAATCTGCGAGTCAAGTGACACACAAAAAACGGTTGCTTATCTACATTGGTTAGTTTCCCGCCCGTGAATCCAAAACAGCATGTACCGAACAGTGCTAATTAATATTCATCCAACTGAAAACAGGACCCTTCTATACTACCCTATCACAGCATGCTTTGCACTATTCTGCAACGCCGTAGCAACATGTCATAGCGGCGATTTCCAGATCCTTAAGGCTGTGGCGAATTGTCTCGCGCACAGTGGGACAATGAGTCAGCCTATCGCCACGATGCAAAATCTTTTCCAGCAGTTTGTGGCACTGTCTAAATGCTTCTTCGTTGATGAGAGCTTGAGTTTGGATATCCCGGATGGGAATATGAGTGCTTTGCAGTCGCAGATGCAGTTGGGATTCCAACCGCTGGACGGTGGGATTCCTCATTACTCTCGGGTTCAGTTACACTCGCCTTCCGGGTTTGATTCATCGTTTACCCATGGACCTTTACTAGATTCTATTGGCGAGGTTGTTGGGAGTGTCGCTTTCTCACCGCCTCAGGAAACCCTTCAAGGCCATGGTGGCCTATATGACAACTTCCTCGTTTCCAACCAACCGGGGTCTGAGTAAGGTCTAATTCAGGTACACCTGTGGTCCTTGCAGCGGCATTGTTACCCTGGGGATGGCGTTTTTCTTACTAGACATTGTACTCATACACATACTCAATTATCTGTACAGTGTATGTATGGAAAGTTCACATCTTAAGCACCACTGGAGCAACCGGCATTTTGCTGAAACGTATTATATGGCACACTTTGGGTTGTACCCAAACATCGAACCCCGAAGCTTAGTTTGGCTTGGGAACACACATGCATGTCACCAATGAGAATATCTCCTACACTACGCCCATCTATGAAGAGAAACCACTGCCTAGCAATGTGACAGTCGACAAGCGATAAAGTCTTTGTGGTAGACATGTGTCAATTCGGGCTGGCGGATCATAAAGGCCCGATGAAAAGCCCCGAGAAGTAGATGCCGGGTGTACAAGGACGTACATGCACAAGTCGGCGCTGTCCACTCATAAGGGCGTTCAGGTGCCTTTGCAAGCTGACCTTCACTGATCCAGAAAGTAACGAGGAACCTGGCAGTAGAATCTTCTGAATTCTCAGTGCAATCAGGCTCGCATTCTTGAGAAATTGTTGTGGAGTATACTTCTCTTTTTGCTATCAACTCAAACAAGGGTTGTTTCGGTATTTTTCTGCGGTCCTCCCTTGACCGGGGCACTGATCACATTTATCGAATTCCAGATCCCTCAAGATTCCACGTCTTGTAGTCCTAAACATTGATTACTCGGTCGCTAATCAGCACTTCTCTTGTTATGACATGTGTGATGCTTTTGAGCTCTTTTGCACATTAGATTCTAGGGTCTAGAATGCGAATTTGTCTCAGATATCTCCGGCGTTGGTGACCATGTTCCTGTCTAATTCTCTGATGGATCTCGGTTGTCCTGTCGCTGCTCAAGCAGGTTATGATCTCAGTGGGACGTTTCGCAAGGTTAATTCTGTTCCCACCAATGATCTGGTTGTGAATATATACTGCATCATGCATATGCAAATGCAGACCCATGGTGTTCTGGTCTGGTTATTATACGGCGACTTTCTTGCCGGGGAGTTAAGCAGAACCGGAGTTTTTGCACCCCAGGACTCGAAACAGGATAGCTAACGTATATGATCAACATTGTATGGTGATAATATTAGCAATGCACCTGTAGAGTATTTTGTGGGTTTCAGCAGATTTCGCCGCCTGGGCTTCCTACGCTGCGAGTACAGCTCAGTCACATGGCCATAAACAATGGAAGCGAGCACGTGGTGGAGGCCTCTGCGATCCACATCGAGGATGTCCAAGAACAACCTCATCCCGAGCAACCTCCCACCACGCCATGGAGTCAGCTCGACGATCTGCCAAGCGGCTCCCTACCACCCATTGCCATTGTGGGCATGGGGATGAGGTTCCCTGCTAATATCCGAACTGCAGAGGAGTTTTGGTCGCTGCTAGTGGAGAAAAGAAGCGCCCTAGGCGAAGTCCCTCCAGGCAGGTACCATGGAGACTCGTTCTATCACCCAACCAGACCTCATGAAATCAAAACTAAACATGGGTACTTCTTGCAGGAAGAGTATCTTGGCAAAGTTGACAAGGATTTTGTCGGAAAACCTTCAGAAGCTGGAAGCTTGGATCCTCAACAACGACTTCTCCTCGAGGTTGTGTGGGAGTGTATGGAGAATGCCGGCCAGATAGACTGGAGAGGCCGCGACATCGGCTGTTTCGTGGGTAGTTTTGGGGAGGACTGGCTCGAAATCACCAGCAAAGATACTCAGTACATCGACCGGTTTAGAGCCATGGGGACGGGCGACTTTGCGTTTGCCAACCGAATCTCATTCGAATTTGACCTGAAAGGCCCGAGGTACGTTGAATCCACTGGTTTCCCCTCAGAGTGTATCCAACTACATTTTCCGTCTTGTCGAACTGACAACGCGTGAATAGTATCACATATAAAACGGCATGCTCGTCCTCTCTGGTCGCATTACATCAAGCTTGTCAGGCAATATACTCCGGCGACTGCTCCGCGGCTATTGTCGGTGGCAGCAGTATCATATTCTCTCCTACAATGTCTGTGACAATGTCCGATAACCTGGTCCTGGCTCCCGATGGCAGATGCAAAACCTTCGATGCCTCAGCAGACGGATACGGGCGCGGAGAAGGCATCAATGCTATATTCATTAAACCGTTGGATGCTGCCATACGGAACGGCGATCCTATCAGGGCAATTATTCGCTCGACAGCAACCAATAGTGACGGGAAGACTCCGAATATTTCGACGCCGGACCGGGAAAGCCAAGAGATCCTTATCCGCAAAGCATACAGCAGGGCGGGGATCAGCGATCCTTGTCAGACGGCATTGTTTGAGTGCCATGGAACGGGAACAACTATAGGTGATGTGACAGAAACTCAGGCTGTGACTAGCATTTTCGGAGAGAAAGGAATATTAATTGGTGCGGTACGTTCCCTATGCATAAGCCTTCTTTGACTTGCCTCAACTAATATGCGAAAAGGTAAAACCGAATGTTGGCCACATGGAAGGCGCATCTGGCTTGACCAGTGTGATCAAAGCCGTTCTTTCCTTAGAACATAGACTAATACCCCCAAACATATATTTTGAGACTCCTCACCCAGATAGTGAGTTGTTTAAATTGAGCAGCTATGCCAGTTTCCCAAACTAACCCACGTAGTTCCATTTCA